GCCCAAGCCCCGAGACTCGACCCCCAGTGCCATCACGTCCCACCCTCACCCCGCTGCCCACAGCAGCCAGAATTTTTTCACTTGGCTTTGCAGTGATGCTGTTTTCCCTTTTGAAAGGGGCGGGGAAGGAAGGGAAGCAGAAGCAGAGGTGGCTGAAGCCAAAACACCACCCCCGAGGCAACAAACTAGATGCAAGACTCGTGTTCTCTCACTGTTGCTCAGCATCCTCCCACGTGTGAGCTTCCAGGGGATGGCACCGAGACGGGACCTGTGACGCAGTAGAATGGAAGTAAAAAATAAAGCTTGCATCTGATTTTTCTTTTCCCCCCTCTTTTTAGGCCAAACCTGCTGCCAGAGCTGTTTGCAGGAAGGCAGGGCAGAGCCAGGCTCCGTGGCGGGCAGGCTGCACACGTGGCTGCGAGAGGGAGGGAGCAGAACTGCTCCAAGTGCCAGTGCCAGACAGGGGCACCATTACTCTCCCTCTGCTCCAAAGGCACCACTCTCTTCGCTCCTCCCCTCCTCCGAGTCCATGTGCCAAAGGAAATCCAGCTCAGGGCTCTGCCTCGGGGCTGGCCCCGTGCTCAGGGGCGTCTGCAGGAAGGCGCTGCAGGCCCAGGACAAGCTCTGGCTCAGCTGCCCAGGGGAGGCCGAGGGGCAGAGGCTGTGAGGCAAGGACGCCGGGTGGGAGGCACCCCTCATCCCAGGAAGGAGCCCCAGGAGGGGAGCTCTGCGATTCCAGAGGCTGCTCAGCGGGGAAACGCTGGAGCCTCGCCACGGGCAGGAAGCTCTCCAGGCAGAAGTTATAAATTAGGCATCTCCAGAGACCTCATTCATTTTACCCGTAATAAAATTACCACTTTTCAAACGGGAAAGCCCCTTTGAACAGCTTCAGTCAAACCAGCCCCGCGGGGCGGCTCAGCTCCGATGCACGTATGCTCAGCCTCAGGTTTGCAGCCAAGAATCACACAGTCACAGTGGGGGTGTGGGTGGTGCAACCAACGAGCAGCACAACCCCTCCAAACCCCAGCCCAGCCACGTGCCCGGGGTCTGAGTGGGCACAGAGCACCACCACTGCACCTCGGAAAGGAAGACCCAAGTACAACTACCTTGTTTCAGCCTCTCCTGTTTTGACTCGTGCCTTTTCCCCAGGTCTTTCCCAAGCAGTTCATTCACCTCATCCCAGCAAAACCATTCACCCTTGTCCATCATGCAATAGGAAACAACCACCACCCCCATGCCCCTGGGGTACTATTGAAGCTGTTAATGTACCTGTACAGGCTGAGAATTTTAAAGAGGGGATGCTTATCTCTTACTTGCCAACCTCCTTATTTTGGTTAATGTCACCCTACAACATTCTGTTTACTACAGCTTAAAAACCCAGGCAGCTTACACCAGAGGGAAGGGGGTATTTCCACACTGCAGAGCCAGAGGACACATCCTGCTGCAGCACTTTCCCAGCTGCAAGGTAAGGTGCCCCAATACCAGGTTAAGGACAAACTGTTCACCAGGACACCAATTCACATTGTCACACTGCTCAGCTTGAAGAAAAACCTGACAGCACTTGGAAGGGATTTTACAGCCTGCACAATGCAGACTCCCAAGTTTCCCTTTTCAACACACAACTGTGACAAAAGGGATGCCCTGAGTCCGGAGTAAAGTCATTCCAGAAATGTTTCAACAGCCTTGAGTATCAGGCTAAGGCTTTCAAGTATTTCATCATAAAAATAAACCCAGTTTTCAGCTGGAGGTAAAAGGAAGCCCAGGAGCTGTGCAGCTTGACCTTTCTGCATCTGTTGAAAAGCCATCAGCTCACCTGCTCACCCCTTCCCAACCCTACACCACAAGAGGTCAGGAAATGAAGGCTCTTAGTCACCAGAGTTTGATTAAGACGGCTTAAAATTCGAGCTTTAATTGAAATGGAAAGAAACATTCTGACAGGATATATGTTTTGTAGATTTAACTGAGTTATCAAATTTAGTTTTCACTGGATGTTATTGCAAACATGAACAGAAGCACCGAATAGGAGAGAACTCAAAAAGGATATAACCATATCATATCAGAGGGGATTGGACCAAATGCTTTGGCAGGCAACTATCCAAATGTGTGATGCACTTACAGGTTAGCTCATAGGATGTAAGGACATCCTTGAGTCCACCTGAAAAAACTTCTGAGGACTGACTACATCAACATTTTCCTGGCAAGTACCTTCTCTGCCAGCAATAAATCCCAGCTCAATACATATCTAAAATGATATACATTAGAGGGCATGTGTTTAAGAGTATTTAGTCAGCTTAAATTACTTGAGCAAAATTTTAAATATGTAATAGAAATCTAAAAAGGAGCAAAAAAAAAAAAAATTGAGAACACCACTGCAATATTAATGCCAAGTTGTTACTTTTTTTTTTTTTTTTTTAAACAGATCTGTACAGCAACATAGCACAGAATGCAGTGATCACAATCCAAACCAGACAGCAACCTACGGGAATACTAATCCTGTATACAGCAGAGCTGAAACACTCCCAACATTCAGCTGCTCCAAATGTCGGCTACCCTAATGCACTCCAAACCAGTTCTACCTACATAGGACATTTTGGTGTGAAAAAGATTCTGTAAAGTTCCCTTTGTTTCCAGTGTTTTTCTTGTACAAAATATTACAATTTTTTTTATATATATTTACAGACTTGCACAGCTAGAAAAATATAAACTACAATTGGGCTTGGCAATCAGTTCTTTTCTTTAAATACATGACATTTCAGAGAAAAAAAAAATTGTAGTGGTAACGTGTCCTGCACTTCAAGCACCTGCACAGAGAAGCTTTCTTCCTTAAGCATATCACGCCTAAAAACCATGACTGCAGTGAGACGTGTGCCAGAGTAAGTGCAACGACTGCAATTCATCTACCTCCTGGCATAAGGAAGACACAAGATGAATGTTGTTTGTGCAGGTTAGTGGCACAACATAGAAAAATCCATAACTGAACATTAAATTCCTTAATAACATTCATTAATTTCATAGGCAGAGTCTGTTAAAAAAGGACAACCAATGTAACTCTTAGGAAGAGCAGTTCGTGGGGCATTACACATCTTGGACAAGACTGCAGCCACAGTTACTGTTTCAGGGGCACTTGCTAACTTGGAGCAGGCCCCAAGGCTTTCAGGGGGTTTCTATTCGACTTTTGAGTAGAGGCCAGGGAGGATTTTTTTGCTTTAAAGCTACAATATCTGTCATTATGGCTTTAACACCCCGCCTTTCACCGAGCTGAGGTATGTGTTTCTAGTGAAATGGTAACAGCTGAGCACAACGAGTTTCAATGGACCACAAAACTCCGCACACAGATGTAAACAAGTCTTCTTGTAGGGGTTTGCCAAACCAAATTGTAACAGTGCAAAATAAGATTTTCTTTTGTTTTTCTCTGCAGAAGAGTTAGAGGCAGCTGGGACATGGCTAGTAGTCAAGCCACTGAGCAAATCCTCTTTCCACCAGAGTTCTGTTTATTGACACCACCTAAAGAGAAGCAAAAAGAAAGTAGAAAGGTGAACAAGCCACTAGTAGAAACACCAGCAAGTTCCTGATCAACAATAAAGGCTGCATAACCACGAGCTGCAACAGCGTTGAATACGCATGTCACCATACACACCTCATCTCCCATCAAGTTCCACAGCTGTATCAGTGGCAGACCTGTCGCACTGTCGTAATTTGTGACCTGGAAACACAGAAAAACATCAGTGTGCAGCAGTTCTGCTCCCAGCCACGGAGTCTGCGAGGCCAGCACAGATACGAGATTAACTTCTGTGTGGGCTAGAGAAGTGCAGCTCCTGCCACCAGGCAGCCGGGAGACCCCGCTGGCCAGTTCGCTCTGGTCACTCGAATCCATGCCCCTGCCACAATCTGTGAGGCACTTGTGCCCTGCAGACCCCTCCTCCCTGCCCACACCAGCACCAGCAGGAGCGCGAGCCCCTTCCCTGCCACGCGCCCCCAGGGCGCTGACCCCGCACAGGGAAGTTCTCACACAAAGATCTCTGCAGAAGAGCCCTGCCCAGCAGCCAGGCTCACAGACTCTGCCTTTGCTTGGCCTGTAGCACAGCCAGCAGGCTCGGGGGCAGGGGAGCAGCAGCACCAGCACGGAGACCACCCGGGGCCCTCCTGTACCTGCGCCACCAGGACCGCGCCTCTGGTCATCTCCCGCACGGCGGCGTCGGCCTCGGGGGAGAAGCGATCCTCGTCTGGGCACAGCAGAGCAGGAGGAAACAAACCAAACGTTCACAGGCTTTAAAGGCCAGAGGGGACCCGGACGCTGATCCTGTCTGACCCCCTCCCTCAGCTCGGGCAGAGGGTCCTCACCTACTGCTGCTGTACATCTGCCCGCACAGTCTGCTGAGCTGAGATCACACGAGTGTGACTCCTGCTGTGCTGCTGAGGGGAAGGATGGCGTGCTTCCTAGAGCCACTAGCCAAGTGAATGTGAACATAAGTGGCTGATGAATTAGGAGGCTTTGAAGACAGAAAAGTCTCCTTCTGCGGTGCCTTTGAGCTGCCATTAGTAGTTTGATCCTTAGCAGACTAAGCTCAGGGGCCCCAGGACTTCCCCACCCCTGTGGAGTGCGGTAATGTCACTGGGAGCTCAGCAGCACTTGTCCCCTGGGCTGGTGGCCCCTGAGCACGGCCAAACACCCACTGCCAGCTCAGCTCACGTGGGGGCTGCCACCAGCCCCCCCCCAGCAGGGCAGCAGGAGACCTCTGGGTGCTGGGAGACACAGCTACAACCTACACTGTAGATCGGACACAAGAATTTCCATTTTGGAGGGATGCTGCTCATTTCCTACCAAACTGCTGCAAAATAAAGTTTCTCCTTTGTGCTCCCTAACCCAAGACCATCTGCAGAACCCCACAAAACCCAACGGGGGTCAGTTACCTCACGGAACAGGCAAAACTGACTTCTGCTAGAAGCAGATTAAACCCTGCTGTCCATCCACAGTCTTGTCAGGGCCTTGGGGTAACTGCTGGAGTCCTGCCAGCCAAAGCCCCCATGGAGAATCCTGGCCTGACCCCTTGCTCCTACAGCCACCCCTTCCACACCCAGCTTTTTAGACACCAATACAGCTTCTATCTCTAACACCACTAGAAAAGGAAAAGCCAAGAAGCATTTCTAGGCAGTGACTGACATTCTCCCAGTGTCTGGAGGGCAGTCTTTTGAACACAGAACTATACACATCAGTCACTGAAGTATGAAAATGTCAGATGTTTGTCTAGCAGATTAAAAACTAAGTTTGCATTAACAGCTACACTATGACAGAAGAAGGCAGAGTAGTTACAGCTGCTCCACCTGCACTCTGCCAGTCCTGCCAGCATGCTGTTTAGGAGAGTAATTCATTCTCTCCTCCATGCAGGAAAAAGCCTGGACATTTATCATCTTTCCCCTGGAGTCTGACAGGTTATGCTCTGCTAGCACATTTAGAAGAATAAAATACAATTTTTCCAATCCTTGCTCTAGTCACATCAGAGGCTACACTTGCAATAGGAGGGAGAAGGTTTGGGCAGCATCGTTGCTTGCACACAGTTGGCAGCCATTTAAACCCACAGAAGCACCAGCAGCGTGTCTCGAGAGCTCCATTACCTGGAAGTGGCACCACGTTGTCTAGTAAAACTTCTGCTCCTTGGAAAGGTAGTGATAAGAAATCAGACCTTAAAGAAAAGAGAATCAATCAGAATAAGAACATGGCTTTAAGTTACTCCTGTATTCTTTAAGGTGACATTGATTAATGAATTGCTCTAACAGGAATTCAGTTTAAAATTGATGACAGTCAACAACAAAAAAATCAGCCTGTTCTCCCAGCAATCTAAGCAGCAGCAATAAATTGCTTGATTAGCACGCCAGGCTGGATGGGGCCCCAAGCAAAAACCACCTCCACAGCAGAGGCTGTACTGCTTCTCTTCCACCTCTGGGGCACAATCAAGTATTTAATGGGTTTGTGTAAGAAAGCCCTCATCTAATGCAGCTCTCCCAGCCAATGGAGCTGGGGCATAGAGAATCTGAATCTTATTCCTAGCTCATCTATTAACGACACTTTGGGGCCTCCTGAAGGCATCCATTCGCTCAGCTTCCACACTGAGGTGGCAGAAATTGCCATTTCCTTTCCCCTCCCCTTCAAAAAAGCCTCGGCAAGAGCTCATTGTGCTCCCAAGGAATCCACACCTGCTGCTGAGACAAACCTTTCTACCATTTCCCACTCCAGCTGTGGAAAAACATATAAGCAATTCAAATGATATGGATGCCTTTGATGAACATTCAAGCCAGATATGGCCTCAGGCCATGGAAGAGGAGCTAGAGACCTGATTTGTCTGAGTGTGTCAATCTTCACTTTGTCATATCCTCCATAGTCCACGTATCTGAGCTCCACTTCATTGGTCTCTTCGAAGTAGCTAATAACTTGAGCCCTCAACCATGCCCCATCCAGGCCTGGAGCTGCACAGATAATACCAACTGCAAAACATAAGAGTATAGGGAAGAAAGGCTCAGTGAAAGTGGATTTCCAGAAATCAGCACTTCAGGCATTAGCAGTGCTGCAGTTATCTGCTGAGAATCAAGAGCATTTCTCATGCTGCTTCCACCTTCTTCCAACCCCCCACACCCGTCAGAGAGGGTCTGCAGCTGGGGCTGGGCACAGCAGGGCTGGGTTTTACTCTCCAGCCTCCGTGTCTGCCACTGCCATGCTGTTCTACCCAGGCAGCCAGTTCCCTCCCAGCCTCAGCTCACTAACAGCAAGGGCTGTCTCCAAAAAGCAAAGTAACTGATAAACTGATAACCCCTTCCATGGGTGCACCCTCCACCTCCCACCACGCGCAGACAGTGACACCATGAAGATTTGGGAGCAGTTCCAAACTTTGTAAGCAAAAAATACACCAGATGTCAAATTGATTAGAAATAACCTGAGATGCAACTCTCTCATTCTGAATTTCAACATGCAGCTAAGTGGCTGGGAAGGTGCTCCAGGGATGAGTGGGGCAAGGAGGAGCACAGCAACATCTGTACTCTGGCAGCAGCTTAAAAAAGGATGAAATGACACATGAAGCATCACACACTATCACCCACTGGAAAACTTCCCAAGCCTAACTCAGGGGCATCACGCTTTCACATGGCCCTAGATGTTTCTCAGCTGGATGATTTGTGAGCAAAGTTTACTTGCCTTCTACTGGAGTTGGCAGGGTTGGGATTTCAGGTTGAGAATAGCAGGCATACATCTGCTGGTCAAGGCTACGCAGGACATGGAAAGTGGGATGTGTGTGCTGCTGCAGGAACATGTGTCCTGCATCCACTTGGTTCGCCACGACCACCTCCACAGTGACCCCATCTGGGAGGAACAGCTGGCACATGGGAAAGAGAAATTCTCATTGTTCAGTGCAACACAAGCTTCCTCCACATCAGCTCCACGTTCCACCAGCAGCTCCCGAGGCTCACAGCACGGGTGGGAAAGCCCTGGCACTCTGGTACTTCACCCCCAAAGGATGAGAGGCAGAAGGCTGCTTGTTACTGCTCCGTGTTGCTCTAAAGGAATCAGGCTCGTGGAGAGGCCCCTCTTGGACACAAGGACTATCAGCACAGAGGAGCTGTAACACTTATCTACCCAAGAGATCAGTGAGCAGTCAGAAATGACACAGGTCCAGACACGCTGCACTATCCCTGCCCACGGGGGTTTTGAACACCAAGGCACTCTGCACAGGGGTTGTCCAAGGTTGTCACAGAGGCCTTACTTTCCAAGTAACTTGCCCTGTCTGCTAGAGAGCCACTGTGTGGGGCAGCTGCTGAGCATTACTGTGCTTGGAAGGTATCTAAAGTGCCTTCAATTTCCCAGCATAAAACTTCAGAACTTCTCCAGAACAAAGCCTGTCTTCACACCCATGCAGTCAGTCACATGCACAGTTACTTCAGAGATTCTAGATGCCAAATATAAGCAAAGAAATTTTTTTAAGTATCTATGTAGCAAGAAAAACCATGAAAACTTCTGAGAAATGCTGACATGAAAACCTCCTTTAAGTGTAATTAAATACCATAAGGAAGTAAAACATTTTGAGAAGATCAGCTTCAGGATTTAGGGACAATGCCAATAATGGATCAGAGCACCACTCTGACCTCACAGCAAGTGCCCCTTATGCAGCAGGGGCAGACAAACAACTCAGCTCTACTCTGAAGTGTTACTGCCTTAGGCAAACACCCAGCCTGTGGGCAGAAGCCTGCCAGGCCAGATGGGCAACTCCAGCTTGGTGCAATGTTCTGCTACAGTCCAAGGGCAATCAAGAGACTCCAGGGCCTTGGAACACATCCACAGAGGGGCAACGAAGCTGGGGAAGGGTCTAGAGCACAAGTCTTGTGAGGAGCAGCTGAGGGAGCTGGGGGTGCTGAGCCTGGAGCAAAGGAGGCTCAGGGGAGACCTTCTGGCTCTGCACAGCTCCTGACAGGAACCTGGAGCCAGGGGGGGGTCGGGCTCTGCTCCTAAGAAGCACCAGGACAAGAGGAAACCAGGAGTTGCCCCAGGAGAGTTTTAGGTTGGATACCAGGAAAAATTTCTTCCCCAGAAGGGTTGTCAAGCCCTGGACCAGGCTGTCTAGAGCAGTGGTGGAGTTGCCATCCCTGAAGGGGCTTAGAAGCCATGGAGATGTGGTGCTGAAGGGCAGGCTTTAGCAGTGGACTTGGCACTGTTGGGTTAATGGCTGGACTTGATCTGAAAGGTCTTTCCCAACTTAACTGATTCTGTGATTCTACATTTCTCAGCTCCAACAGGATGTGTTTTCATTATTGCTCACAGGTAGATAAATCTCATCTCTAACAGCTACAGAAGCTAAACAGATATCCAAAACAGTTTTGAGAGCACCTAAACTAGTCACACAGAAACTGCATACTATGACAGCAGTGTCCAACAACAGCCTGTCACCCCAGCACCAGCACCACCAGCAAGCTGGGACTTACTTACCCAGGCAGTCATAAGGAGGGAATGAAGTGTCAGTGGTGTAGGTGGAGGCAGAGCATAGATGTTGGTGAGACACAACTCTTTGAACTTCTTGCCAATCAGGCTCAGTACTTTTTCTACTTGCTGTGTGGAGCCTGGAAAACAAAAATTCCACAGGGAGTCTGTAGCACACACATGCTGAGGATGCTCCCACCCCCACCACCTGGAGCAATATAGCTACCAGAAGCCTTCTACACTACACCAACAACTTCAGTTTCAATAAATTGGCCATGTAACCCAATGTCATGCCAGCAGGAGCCACTCAGAATGCCAGACCCCAGCTGCAACAGCTTTAGCCTCCAGTAGGAATGCAATTCCCTGGCAGATATTTTTCAGCCACAATTAATCCACCATCCCTCACAGTCAAGACCACATTTGCTGACACATCCTTATCACTCCTCCTTCAAGCCTGAAGTGATGCTGCAAGAGGTGCTGGTTAAACCACAACAGCTGAGGATGTTAATGTGCACTCCAGAGGGTTGAGGTGCCAGGACATGCAGCCAGCAGGCACCCCTGCTGCACCAGCACCGAGCACTCCTCTGGAGCACTGGGCCCACGAAGCCACTAAGCCTGTTTAAATTCCTTGCCCATCCAAGGTCCCAAAGCCACATTTTCAACCACGAATAAAGAGACTTTCCACTCACCTTCGATGTGACAGACTTGGGAGTCACGGAAATAAGGTAGTGTTGAGACATAAATTTTGGCACCAGACGCTTGCCTTAAGAAGCTCATAAATCTTCCTTGTTTGCCAATCAAGCGACCAACTAATTCCTTTATGGAAGGGACAAGAAAGCAGCAGTCAGGAAGAGAAATGCAGATCAAACAACACTGTCCTCTGGGGCTTGTGTCCCCCCATTCCCTGTCACGTTTCTGTAGTGTAGGGCCAGGCAGGATCAATATCAGGCAGTGCTGGACCAGCACAGAGCTCAGCTGGTCTGCAGCAAGCCCAGGGAGACACAGATCAGCAAGCACAGCTCATTTTGATAGAGCCATCTTCACATCTTGTAGAACGACAGACACGATAGGACAAAACCAGACCTGGTAAAAGCAACTGTCTTCCTACAGTCAAGTGGAGCCACAGCCTCTCCCACTATCCCACCACTTTATTGAGTTTTTAAAAAAAATATGCTACCTGCATTTTTTTCATTCCAATATGAAATACGAAGTTTTAGCAATTTATAAACAAGGCAATTAGAATAGAAGGGGAGTAAAAGTCACAGAGTGAGTCATGCTACCATGCCCATTAGACTGCAGAGCCCCTGGACAGCAGTCAGGGAGACCAAGAGAGGTCTGTGCAAGCCCTGTCACTTCTGCTCTTCCACTGGCACCTGCCACCACGACTGCCAGAGATCAGACACCAGAGCAGAAGTGCTGGGCCCAAGCCTGTGTGGATAGTCCTGTATGATACAAACTTAGCTGCTTTAAGAAATGTGACTGCCTGTCCTCACTAACCACCGAAACCTATTTTTCTGCTATAAAACTGTCTCCTTAGCCTGTGTTTTACAGATCCATTAATGTGTGTGCTACATGTCTTCACTGGGCTCACAGCATCCAAGCACCCAAGGCAGCTTATCCTGACAGGAGCTGCTGTCTCATGGTACAGAATTACTTGGGTCTGCCAAGAAGGAAAGCTGCAAGAGCAACGCTGTGCAGGACAGCCACAAGTGATTGTGCACATACAAAGCAGGGAAGAAGGGATCAACACAGTCCTAAAACACACAATCTCTCTCTCTCTCTCAACCCAAAAGAAAGTTCACCAGAAAGACAGAGAAACAGGAGCTCCACAGAAAGCTCAGATGAGCATTTGGCTTGTGAGGAAGGGTTTGGACAGGCAGTTGAAATGTAACCCTCCTACCTAGTAAAAGAATTCATCACCTTCTCTTAATTGTGTACCCTCAAAGCCTTCTGAATGCCTTCAAAGCATCGGACTAACAGATTGGGGTAGAAGATAATGGGGAATAATGAGTCCAACAGGCAACGTTACCCTGCGTGTGGCCCTGACATGCCTCTTGCCTGCAGCTGCGTACTGGCTCCTCACTCCTGCTGAGTCCTAACGGGAGCTCAGGGCTTAAACCCTTGTGGAGGAGTTGTTGATCTCCTTGGGATGGTGCTGAGCCAGTACCAGACTGGAAGAACCAGACAATGGCTATGTAGGGCAGGGCAGGAGGTGCAAGCAGGCCAGCAGCTGGTTACCTTTGGGACCGCTATTTCCCAGATAACGAAGTCGGACTTGCTGGATTCTCCTCCTAGCTTCTGGTGAGACAATGTCTTCCTCATGGTACAGCCATTGTCCACAAAATCCATGCTATTTACATCCGAACCTACAAGACATGCACACGTGTCAGCATTCAGACAATCCACACAACCCAGCTACCAGACACAAGGCCATGAAAATAAACCACGTCACAGAGGTCACGTTGAGCTCTTCCTGTGCATTCCCTGGGTGTGCCTGCACCAGGTTCTCCAGCAGTTCAGAAAGGGGAGAGTCTCACACAGCCTACTAGAAGTTTCCTTTTATTCCTGGAGAAAAGCCTGCACACCACACAGAATGCAACAGAAGGATGTCTGGGCTCAGAAGGAGTCCTTCAAGCATGGTGACACCTCACAGGGCAGCAGAGACAAGACACTGTAAGTCCAAGGTACCAGCTGGATGAGAGCTATGCTAACATCCACACCCAGCTGCAGCAGCAAGGTATTCCACATTCTCCCCCTGCTTTGAACGGGGCTCTTGGCAGCGTTCAGCATGCAGGGAGGCACACAGACTGTCTGGTTGCACTTGATGATCTCGAAGGTCTCCTCCAACCAGAGCAATTCTAGGATCCCACTCCTGCCCCAACACCCGCGTGGCAGGCGTGCCCAGTACTAGCTGGGGTAGAGGGTTACCTCTTCCCCAAGTTTGTCATATGTTTGAAAGAAACAAGGTGCCACAGCTTAGCTATGTTTTGGTCCCAAACCAACAGCTGATACCAGGAATGTTTCTACTTGGGAGTGGGACAAACTCCAACAGCTTCCTCCAGGTCAGATCCCAGGTACAGTCAGTGTAACAAGAAGTTGACCCTTCCTCCAGAATAACAAGCAGAAGCATGAAGACCCTCACTTGCTTGCAAGTATTCAGACCATCCAGTGCAAGACTAAAGAGAAAAACAAATCCATCAGCTGCTTCACATTTGCCACACCTTAACTAGTAACAGCACAGACACCTAGAAAGGAAAAGAGTGAAGCTGTCTGCCATAGGCTTCTTAGGCAAGGATGAGGATCTAAGTCTCCCAGCCTGGATGTGAATGAAGGTCAGCTGTAGGATCTCTTACCCAACACAGCCACATGATCAACTTTACCTGCTATAGCCTCTCTCCCTACCCTTCAGCAGTCTCAGGGCAGAGCTTCCAGCCCTTGTCACCACCAGGCTCCACAACACACTCCTGTACCTTCTTGTCACACCAGCACTCGCCACAAGGCAAAACCATTTTCTTCCTCTGGTCACTCTCACTAGTAAAAAAGTTTCATGGGTTTAATCCCTAATTGCTGACAAACTCAATCCTCATGCCTTGCAACACCAAGTGTTCCAACTACTTTGAAGCAATTACGAAAGACATCCCATCATTAAGGGCTGTTGGCACCATAGGGTCCTACAAAGGATTTTAACATCCATCACCAAGGTCACAGGGGTTAACATTTGCTCAGACACCTTTGTGTGCTGCCAGGCACACATCATCCAAGATCTAGAAGGCAGAAGCAATGCAGAGACAGATGGAGGAACTCCATGAACATTGCTCCCTGTTGGGATGTCTTGGCATGTACCTACCCTTCCAAGCAAAAAGGCTTCAGGGTAATTGGTCTGCAACCAACTGATTTTATCACAGTTCATCAGAGCACATCCCTGGTTCATCTGGCAGCACCTCAGAAACCTGCCTTACAGCTCCCTTTCAGCAGCAGCCCATAAAGCAGAGAAGAACCCAGTGCCTCCTAGAGGCTGCCTGAACTGAAGTAGAAACCAACTGCACTGGCATGTCTCAAACCATTGATGTGTCCAACAGCCTGGCCTCCATCCAGAGAGCCCACTGCAGTGGGCTGCTTGAGCACAGACAGCTTTAGACAACAGGCTCTGTGCTGAGAGGAGGTCACAGCCTGTTCACCCCTCTGCAGCCACCCTGAACATCACCCAGCTGACACTGGATCCTACAGAGATGGGAATTCTGAGGGCAGGCACATACCCACCTGCACACAAGAACTACCTGCTCATCTGCTGGGGAAGTTAAACGTGGAGATTTATCTAAATATGTTCTGAAGCAGAAGGGTTATTGCACATAAAATGCTTGTTCACCACATTTTTGTAGGATTTTCAAGTCTCTCACCTCCTGAATGACCGTCCATCGCTGCTGCCCTGCTGCACTCACGGTGCGAGTCTGGACCATCATCTTCCAGTGTCCCATTACTGCAGGGCACTTTGCTCTCTTCAGGTAGCTCCAGAGCAGGAGGTTTGTCACTTGGTACTGAACTCTGCTCAGACGACGTGCTCAGTGAGTCTGAACACTGGCCCGAGGTGGCAGACAGCACCGTGCTCTGCAGCGAGTCCTCCGCGCTCCGGCCCCCTTCCCAGGCGGACGCGCTGCACCCGGAGTCCTCCGTAACCAAAGGCAACTTCCCCAGTGACCCTCCGTGGCCTTCCACAGGAGCCTGACCGACTCCCTGGGACTCCCTGCACACACAGCTCTTCACCCCACAGTCTCCCACGTCTCCCTGGAGGGGGCCGGAGGAGCAGCCGTGTGCCAAACCGCCGCAATCCGACGCCCACGGAGCCCGTCCCTCTGCCCGCGGGGCCGTGGGCACCCCAGCACTGCTCTCTTCACCTGCTGGAGCTTCCTCCTCTGCCAGCGGCTGCTCAGAGGGAACAACACTTCCCACCTCCAGAGGCCTCCCGAGGCGGCTGGCAGCAGCCTGGCAGATCCGTGTGGACACGCCACCTGCGGAACCAGACAGCACCTCCTCAGTTGCTGCCAAAATTACCTTGGAAATGATCTGTATTGCTACTTGTTCAATTTTCTCAACCTCTTCCTTGTCCAAACTCACTCCTCCAATTTTCTCTCTTTCCAGTTCACCTCCTTTTAGCTGTGTGTCCACCTCCCCCTGACACACAGGTACAGTACTGGTAACTGACCCTGATACCTCTTCTTGCCTGGACTGCTCCAAGCAGACAGACTCCAAACTATCGGGTAACATACTCGCTGCAGAATTCTTGTGACTTGATACAACTTCATTACTGAGAAAGGCTTGTGGGGTATTGGCTTCCTTCTCCAATCCCAAGCAAGGGGCTGTCACAGAGCCAGTATTTGATGGCACAATTTCTGTCATCTGGATTTCCTTAGGGGGCTTAAACGAAGAATCATCTGACTGCTCTGCATTGCTGATCTCCTCTGTGATTCCCAAAGACTCTCGTGTCAGTGTCATTGATGCTGGTGGCCACTGATCTTGGCTTGCACTAGAACTCGAATCCTGTATAAGGCTCACTGCAGCACTGCCATGACACTCTGTGCTCTTTGAGATGAGAGGGAGACACACGCAAGCAGGGACACTGCTTCCATCTTGGGACCCTGTTGTTTCTAGTTTTTCACTGTCGTCTTCAAGGGTGCTGGGCTGAAATGTCATTACTGACAGGTCTGTGAAGTCCTGTGAGAGATCTCGCCTCCCATGAGTGTGACACAGAAGAGAGGGCGTCGACGACCCTGCTGACAGCAGGAAGATCGAGGTTTCACTCTCTGGGCACTCCTCTTCTGAGGAGAGGGGCAGTCTTTGAGGAACACAAGCTTCTATTTGGGGTGATGAATCATTCTCTGGCACCACTTCTTGCTGCTCTTCAATGGCTATTGCTTGTTTGTTGTGATAGCTTACATGCTTTTTTCTATGGGAATACATCCACCAGCAGCCAAGAAGTGCCAGCACTCCAGGTATGGCGTATGGGATGGCATTGTGGAAGTGTAACGCCATTTTACAGAGCCTCAGCAATTGTATCTAGAAGGAGAAACAGAAATCATGTTAAGATAGTCACACGGAGGGTAACAGGAAAGCTAAAGTTTCAGGAATACCTCAAGGCATTTATATCAGCATGGGCATTGTTTTCCAGACTGTCTTTAAATTCACATCTCTGTTCTGCCAGCAGACCCCAGAGCAAGACACTTGCCTAAGGCTGGGGATATCTGGACATTTCTCACCATTACACTCACCAGTTTCACCTCACCATTACACTTAAAGCAATCCCACCTTCTGCCTCCTGCCTCACCGTCACAGGTCAGTGCTGCACACAAGGACAGCACCCAGCACTGAAGTGTCTCCAGCATCAGGCCTGTTCCTGACAGGGCTGTACCACAAGTGTTCAGGACACAGGCTGGCAGCATCGCATTCCTGAGAGTTTTGTAGGCTGACAACACACACTTCTTTAAAATACAACAGCTCACTGAAGGTGAAGTGCTTTGCAAACATTCTCATCCAGAGCCCTGGGAGAGCCTGGCGTGCAGGCACACA